CATTTCCTCTTATTATTTATATTGCCTCTTCTATGTCTTTTATCTCTTTCCAGTCCTCCTTCCTTGCCAGTCTCTTGCCTTCTTATCCTTCCTTCTTTTCTTCCTTCATCCACTCTACATTTTCATGTATTTTATTTTCACATGGCATGAATTTTAGTGCTGGAATGACTGGGATGGATTTTTTTTTCTTTAGGTAAAGAGGTCAGTAATGAAAATAATACATAATTGTTTCAGACTCTGCTTTGTCCAAAATGTTCCTCTGTTTTCCAGATGAGTGGCAGTGTGCGCTCAGAGTGGTCTGGCTGGCTCTGCTGTGTTTGGTGTTGCTGAGTATAGTAACGAGTGTGATCGGACAAATCTACAAGAAAAGGCGTTTGTGCAGTAAGAGACAAAAAACAATCAAACAAAAGAAATCACTCGTTTTATGATGCCACAACTGAAGAAACAAAGTCAAAATTTGTTTCAGTGGTGGAAACAGGCATCCTAAGACATGTTTTTTTCCTCTGCCAGGGAAGCCGAAGGTGCACCCTGATGGCTTCAACTTAATTACTCAGCAATTAAATGGTAAGCCAACAAAATGTGTATTCTGAAGTTACTGTACACTAGATACGTTTGTACTTCACTGGATTTCAATATTGTGAGTGCTTAAAAATATCCAACTTTAAACAAGTTCACCTTTTGCTGAAGGGCAAGACTGAGCGTGCAAACTGAGGTGCACATAAGAAAAAAAACAAACAACCATTTACACACAAAGATAAAAAGCAAACTCTAATTATAACACAAGAAAAATGTTTAAATGTAGCATGTTCAGCAGCAGTGGTCTGTCCAAAGGTGACTGACAATGTGCAAGGCAAAAGTGCAAAAAGTCATGTTTAGCGCCGTGACGTGAGACTTCCTGCTTCTATGGTGAAAGACAAGCTTTTTCTCCTGGCCGCATATTGCTATCAGAGCCACTGCTTTAGACTAGTTTCAACCACAGTGCAGAGAACTTAAAAAACAATTATTATTATGAGAAATTCTGAAGTGATTGGTTTTGTCATATTGTACAAAACAAAGGTGAAACCAATGAGGGACAAGATCAGAGTCAAACTGAAGCAAGACTCATGAAAAACTGACTTACACACCCAAAAAGGAAATGACAAAGAAATGAGTGTCTAACACTGAGGCATGAACACTAAGAGGAGGCAGACTCAAGGGAACACAGGAAGCCTCAAATTACAACCCCCACTAGGATTTTCTCAGTGCACATGTACCAATACACAGCCCTCTGTGACATTTCAAGCAGCCCTCAAGGACAGAATACACTACCATACAGTTCATTCACCCACAATATATAACTTAACATCAAATATAGAGGCAGAACCAAACCAAGGGAGCATAATCTATTCATCAAAATCAACAGTCACCTCAAGGCACTTTATATTGTGATAATACAGAGAAAATCCCAACAATCAGACTGCCCCCTATGAGCAAGCGCTTGGTGACAATGGGAAGGAAAAACTACCTTTTAACAGGAAGAAGCTTCTAGCAGTCCAAGTATCAGGGAGGGACAGTCGTCTTCGACAGTCAGTGAGGGGTGAGGACAGGAAGCCGCTCCGGAAGAGAGACAGAGATTATTAATAACTAATGATTAAATGGTGTATAAACATAAGACTCAGCCATTCAATGTTAACAAATACATCTGGTGTCAAGAAATGCCACCTCTCACTGTAATGGTTAAAAAAATGATAAGCCATGGCTTACTATCAACCAAAAACCAGTGTGTTAGATCTCTGAACAAACACACTAAATGTGTATTTAATCTATGTTTTCATTTATGTGCTGGCTCTGTACATGGTCACTTTTAGAAATCCTGGTCTGTGAATAGTCTGTATTGTCTCTGAAGTATAATATATTAATAATATACTAAGTAAACTAAAATGTATTCCAGAAGATGAGAGTTACAACATGTTTATGCTACTCTTTTATGTAGACGGTGCCAAAGAAACAGAAGTCAGCCCTCCTGAAGGTAAACTGCTCAATAAAAACGCATTTACATCTGCGTCAACAGGTTTGGAGATTCTAACAAACTCTTTTTGGTCCAGCAGGGACAAACCTCCACTTATACGGGTTTCATACCTGGTCAGGTCAGTCCTTTTAATCAGTCAGCATCATTTAATGGATCTGTTGTTTCACAGCTTTCACCACGTTAATCTTTTTCTTTTTTTTTACCAAAATGGATAGGGCTCTCACCAATTAAAGAAGTTGACAGTCAAAGTAGGTACACACACACACATGCACCTTTTAGAAAAATGAGTCAGATCACAAACACATGTTCTGATTGTCCTCACGTATACTTTTCAGATGACATATCAATGTTGATGGATGGAAATGCTGACCACTGCTATACTGGTAAAGTCTTTACTGGAACAATTGTACAGGTTCAAAGAGAAAGCTGTTGGTGGTTATGACCACCAACAGCTGGTTGATGACTTTCAGATACTCTTGCACGCATTCAAGACTTAACTTGGCGCCTCTTCATACAACCAAAGTTTGATTAATTATATGCGGTTTAGTTTTTAGATGCTATGGATCGGCCTTTAGTCCTGTCCTTACCAGCGTATTGCTGGATACGTTATTTGAAACTGCTGCACGGTTGGGAACCACATCGCCCTTCATTTTCATACGTGTGTGGTAATCTGCGAATGGTGCTACGAGAGCTCAAAAACTCCAAAGTGTAGCTTTAAATATGATGGACTTAATGCATAAATACAAAAAGTATACCAATGTGTAGCTAATTATCATTGAATTGTTTGCTGTATTAGGCTGTTCTCTTTACGTAAAACGTAAACATAAGGTCAGAGGTTAAATGTGATGTGATATTTGGATGTAAATTATAATGTGATATTTAGAATACACATACACCAGTATCATTTCCTAAATGTTGCCAATACAAACAAAGGCAGTCGTAAAGTTAAAAGACATTTTATGATGTTTGACCTTATAAAATACACACAACACTTATAAGAATCATAGTTTCTAAGTTATAAGGCTTTTTGGTAATTTTGGACCTATACATCATTATTTTGACATTGAGGATTGTGGTTGATGTGAGCCAAATTTTGAATGGATTGTTAACACGACTCCATTCTAAATAAAAAACGTAAAGTTTTATCGGAATTCATTCAAAACTTTTTGAGTTATGGTGTTTACAGACAGAACGGCATGCACACTTCCAAAAACGTAATCTTCCAGGCGGAGTTAATCGTCAAAAAATTCATCTCAGTAGACAATTACTGCAGAGTATCGACACATCAGAACCCTTTTAAAATGTCATCTAACAGTGCGCTTGGTGCCTTTTTTCTGTTGTCTTTAGGTTTTCTGCATCATCGCAGCCATCCCTCCGTCAGCTCCATCAAAGATGAGCCTGCTCGATGACAGGCGAGCAGCCGGAGGAAGCTGGAGGAAAACAGCCGCCTCATTTACCAGCATTACTAATGGTGAAAATAAAGATATCTGAACCACCTACATGTGCTTGTGAACTTATTTTCAGCATGTCATCTCGGAAGCTTTGTCTATGTTAGCACTTTATTAGAGGACAGTCTCTACACATTATTAAACTATCAAAAGTTAAATAAATGGATTGGCCCTCGAACATTTTTCACCCTGAAAGAACTAAATTGTTTTGTATTCTGAGTCAGATGCATGGCTGATAAACAGCCTTACCCCGTCTGGTTATAGCTGAAAGGAGCCAAAACATTTTGACAGCACTGACTAATATCTTGTTTGCTTAATAGCTTTCCTTGCCAGCATCCATGTATCTCTAAAACTGAAGAAGAAGCAGAGGGAGAGAAATATTTATCCTTCAGAAATCGAGGTAACTGTGGGCTAAGCGCTATAAAGTAATTCATCTCAAATTCTGTAGAGACGGCGGTTCAGAAGGAGGAGAAAAATGTAGAGCATAGTTGAGATACAACACATCTGACACATCTCTGCGGTGATGTGTGAGATGAAACCGACGTGGTATACATTTCTGAATGTTGGAACGCACGATCGAAGGCTTTGTTCTGGAGTAAAAACATGTAACCTATGTGTGCATGTAAGGCTGTCTTTGGGGTGTTTAAAGTGGAATCACACAAAGTGTACAGCAGGTCGAACGCGAGTAACCACCTGGTTTTATTTCACCATAAAAACATTAAAGGAGCCAAGCTCGCTCTGCCAGGAAGTAACTAACTCCAGATAGCAGCACCTGCAAGGCTCATGTCTTACTGTGAATTTGCTCTTTTTGCAGTCAGTCGTACTCAACCATCTGGAAAACATCTGTATTTGCAGCACATTTTCAGAATTATTAAACCCAATCGCTACTCTTTTACTTTTATGGCGTAAGAGGGAGACATGAAAAAATATTTTAACTTATGGGTCATTCCACCTCATATCGCTCATCACATTTTTAGATCATTGTCTGCTCAACCACCTGTGTATTGCTTGAAAATCTAATGGTTTAAACTTGGATGACTATAATCTAGCTGTGAAGTTTCAGCCTCGTGTATCAAATACTTTTTTGGACATGTTTTGTTTTTCTTTTCTGAGGCAATGTTTCAACATGAATATCTCAAAAATGTCCAAGATAAAAGCCTAAAACTTTCTCTGATCTTTCTTTCTCCGTAAGATAGAATTAGGGTCTGTAATTTGGAAACAATGCTTAAAAATGTCTGGGTGGATTGAGCAAACACAACAAGTTGCACACTAGAGACGTCAGCTCATTATTTAATATGAAAGAACAAATTTCAGGAGCTTCCAGATGTAAGTCTTATTATAACGGAGAAAATTATCTTGTAAAGTATATGCATATTTGTTATTTTCAAGACCCACTGGATGAGTCTAATAATGATGTTTAATTTTGAAATATACAAAAATGCAACAAATACTGATTTTTTCTTGCACAATACAACATTGTGCAATAAATATTGCACAATGTTGTATCTTTAAATTTGAATGCAGACTGGAGCTGGTCGAGCATATGGCCCACAATAATTTGAGATAAATTGACTCTTATACCAACAGTTTTGCAGAGTGAGGCAGTTTTAATGCATATTTATAACCAAAGAATCAGAAGTTACACTCCGTTTCAGCAAAGATTGCTGTGTGCGAGTTATACAATCCACATCTACCTATCGTGTTTCAATAACCTTTAAAGTGAGTGAACAATGAGTTAGCTCATTGTTTAGCAACAAACAGATGCACATGATGGAGTAATTCCGGCTAAAGAGCTCAATGTCCCCTTTAGGATTTAGCAAAAGCCAAAATCAGAGTTTAAAGAGAGTCAAAATTCACTAAATGAATGATAGTGTTTAAAAGGTGATACATAACACAAGTGTTCACTATTTGCTTCCACAAAAAATGTCTCTAAAATCAGTTATTGCAGGTTTGAATTAATAAACTCCCCCAAAACAGACAGTTTTTGTTTTACTGGGGTAATTAAATGTTTTATTGTTATTTTGTTGCTGTATTTCACACTGTTTGGTTTTGGTGCAGCCAAACTAGCCGATTCCCTTCAAAAGGCTGTGGTTTCACTTTTAGTGTAGAGAGTGGTATCGCTCATCTAATTCAGTCCAACAACAAGACGCGAACAGAAATTAATTAACCGACATCACATTAGTAATGTTCACAACAAAAGATGGAAATAAAACACAAGGTAGTGTTGTTTCATATAATTTAACACAGAAAACAAAATAAGTATGATATTACTATATATAATCACTGACGCTGGTATTTTATCTTAACCTGCAATTAAACAGTCAACACAACAGACACTCTACTAGTGTTAGTCTATGTTTTTCCTGTTGTGCAAAGAAAGCTCAATGTACAATAATGTAGAGTTTGATCAGTACAATCAGTAATATTCTGGTTTTTGGTCTTGAGGCGTGGACGTCATTTTGGTTTCTTAAAGCAAAACATCAACGGCAAAACAGGCAAAGTAACATTCAGAGACACAACGTGGCACAAACACACAAACAAAGCGTATGCGAGCTACCACTACGTGTGTCAGTTAAGCTGGTATCTTCCTGATGATATTCTCTGTGTTCTGTTACTATTTGGCACTTAGTGTAGATTAAAGCACTTGTTCTGGTAACTCTATTCTCTATACTTTACTGTACAACAATAGACACACTGGCAGGCAGTTGCACAGGCAGTGTTAATGCTGAATCTGTGCTGCGGCCTCTGTGGCGAGTCGGCAGTGTTGGCTCTGGATGTGGGAGATCTGCAGGATGGGCAGCAGCAGCTGAAATGCATTCTGGATGTAGTTGGTGCTGTTGGAGCCCTGTGGATAGGAAATCATCAGTAGATGTAGCATAGTGCTGAACAATATATATGCATATATACATATATGTATATAATTGAGAGTTTCAAAGACTGATGGCTTGGGGACAGAAACTGTTCTCTTGCTATTCTGCTCCAACAGCTGTAAATCCTCTAGCTAGACACCTGTAGTGAGAATAATCCATGATGGGGATGGATGGAATATAACAATGCTACATGTGCACAGTTTGTGTGCACAGCTCTGGATGTTTCTGGTCATCCGGAAATTCCTCGAGGCATTAAACAGGTGCTTTGCTCACAAGAAAACAATGCCTCCTGGCATCGCTGTCACAGAGATATAACAATAAAAATGAGGAAAGATTTGTTTCTAGAGATGCAATTTGTAAAAAAAAATGCATTCTAAAAAATGTTGAACAAGTCTTTAAACGCTGTGTGGATCTCGTCTGAGTGCCTCTTAAAACTCAGTTCCCATTGCATTAGTGATGATGATCCTGATCATTTATCTGTCAGTCATCATGAGACTGCTACATCATTAATTTTATCCATTTTTATTTTTATTCACGATATTCAAAGTAAAAAAATCTTACCTCTAGCAGCACACTCTCTACCAGTGGGTTCAGCTCTTCTGCTTTCCTCTGGCCCTAAAAAAGAGAGGCAGTGACACTCGTGAGATCAATAAAAGATGATGGAGTAGCAGAAAAACACAAGTACAAAGACAAAGATCAAAAATTATTTTACTACTGTCAGCAGAGCCTATGAAAAAAACCCCAAACAAACAAAAGAAACAGTGACTTGATCCAACAAACAAATACTCACACATCAGCTGTCTGATATATCTCCTGCTACATCTAAAAAGCTCTGCTGTCACTGAGTCACGTTGTTGTAGTGGGTGAAATGTTTTATTACAATGAATACGACCACTGTATTTATTATGAGTCAGCTCTACAGAGACTGCTCTGTTGGCATAAATACTCATTAGAGCACCCCGTGTGTATTCATACAACTTAAAATAGGCCCCAACTGAACTAAAGTTAAACCCCAATGGATGCTTTTTGACAATAACAAACATTATTAGAATAGTAACAATCATCCCTAATGTTCACACACCCACATGCACACACACTCTCACCTACCCCAACATCGAGCAGCGTATCAGAGAACTTCTTGGCCAAACACTCCACCTCCTTACACATGGCACATGTCAACCTGCAATAAGAAGAGTGGATTTGAGCATGCATCACTCCTTGGAGTAGTGATACTATCTCTTCCTTGACCTCTCTCTACCTCACAGATACACACACACAGACATGCAGACACACATTATGTGCAAATGGATTATTTCTTCACATTTAGTTTTTGCTAGCTCTTTAATTGTAGACCTAATGCCATACACACCTAACTGTTCTTATTTTAGTGCCCCTCAATCCCCTTTTCTCTCTGTCCTCCTCTCTCCTTGGTACCAGGGGGATTCACCCAAATGATCCTGGTAAAACAGATCCTTATCAAAGCCTTCCCCAAGCTGCAGTATCTGCCCTAGCACAGGGCCGAAAAAAAGGAAAATCAGACCCTCTAACTGGACCGACTTTAGCTTTGATAACAGCACGTTTTTCATAAGCTTATGCACACGTGAACTGTGCAACATTTATTTTGATCATTTTTGACCAACATCTTGTGTTGATGATGAGCGTGTTGGATTGTTACGGCAAGTTATCTCCAGCACATCCCAGTGGGGTTAATGTCTGGAGTCTGTTGCGTCTAATCCACGTGAAAATGACGTCTCCTATTCCCTGAACTCCCTGAACCACTCTTTTACAATTTGAGCCTGATGAATCCAACCCAACCACATTGGAAGAAAACATTTACTAAAGGAAAAACCTGGTCATTCAGTATTTTCAGGTAGTAAGCTGACCTCAATTTCTGAACCAATCCCAGAACGTAACACTGCCCCCACAGGCTTGTACAGCAGAAACCTGACACGATGAATGCATCACTTCACCCGCCTCTCTTCTTGCCCTGATGCACCCATCACTCTGGAACAGAGTAAATCTGAACTCATTAGACCACATGACCCTTTTTTCATTTACTCCAATCTTTATGCTCCCGAATATACTGAAGCCCTTTTCCTGATTAGCCTCACTGATAAGTGGCTTTCTTAAGGCTACACAGCTGTTTAGTCCCAATCACTTGAGCTGTTCTCGCACTGTGTGTGTGGAAAGGCTCTTACATGTTGATTTTTTATCATTTCATTCCAATTTTAGCAGTTCCAACAATCTCCTTAGTTGTTTTCTTTGCTTGACACAGTCCAATAATTTCAGTGAAACGCAGTAACAGCTGACACGGTTGTCTAAGAAATGATAAGCTCTCATGTATTTGCCTAGTTAAATCCAGGTGGTGACTTGTCTTTTGGCCAGGCAGTGTATGCGACTGTTTCAGTCTTCTTTGCTTGTGAACCTAACCTCAACAATCACAAATGCCAAATCCCAAACATTTCCATTATTTCCCTTAGCAAAGACATAACAACAGCTTATATTGATCTCCTGGAGGCTTACCCTAACCCGTACCATAACCTTGAACCTGTCAAGGGGATACCCACAGAAGGAAGTTCCCACAATGTAAGTGTGTAATACAAGTACACATTCACACACATACCTGGTGAGGACGTGTGCCTGGTCTCTGGCTGGTTTCTCTTGCTCCTGGCCGTGGAGGATGAGCTCCGCCACCTTGTGGAGCTGCTCGATGCTGCGAGCCGTCACTTCTGCCAGACTGCTGACCGATGACAGGTAGATGGCCTGATTAGAGGAAGGCGAGTGTATACACACACACACACACACACACACACACACACACACACACACACACACACACACACACACACACACACACACACACACACAGAATAAGTGATTCAAATCAAATAAGGCAGTGACAGCAGGAAGAAAAGGTGACGGAATTTAAACTTGAAAGCAGAAGTCATAACAGTGCAGATGAGACGTCACCTCTACAGATATGGGGTCGCTCTCCTTTGCCTCTTCTCCTCCCTTCATCTCCTCCTCCTCGCCCTTCTTCTCCCCCAGCTCTTCTCCGTCTTTCTTCTTCTCTTCCTTTTTGTTCTCCTCTCCTCCTGGCTGGTCCTGCGTTTCCCTGCCAACTGTCTCTGTAGTGACAGGTTGTTCCACCTTGCTCACCCAATCATGGGCCCTCATTCGAGCCTGGAGATGCATAATTACCACTCATCAGGTCTGCATGAAGACACATTCCCACCCTGATCCTGATGTATGCTAATTAGATGCATATACATGGATATATGCTAATATTGGTTTTTATATATGTGAATGTGATTACGCAGGATGGCTTTAGGGGCTGATAACTTTTAAATTAGCTTTGCAGCAGGATGCAGAGTTACTATGTTGAGTGTAGATACAAAGATGTGTATTTTTGTAGCTTTGTGGACCGTTTTCTCAGAGCAAATAGGAAGAATGATTGGTGGTTGTTAGAATATTCCTGGTACTAAACTACACTATGGAATTTGAAATGCATGATTTCAACACAATTTCATAAAAAAACGAGGTATAAACTAATACTCATAACACAGCTTTATAGAAGAAAAATCAAAGATTTTCTTTCCAAATCAGAATCATATCACTATGTGAAGGAAACTATCTGTGCATTACACCTACAGGAGTGTTTATGACACCCCAGAAAAAAGACAACAACCCTTCTCCATCAAACTTTAGAGCAGGCACGATTCGGTCAGGCAGGTGGTGTTCATGTGGCACTCGCCAAAGCCAGATTGATGATGTATTGCTTGCGTGCTGCTTCTCAGCCACAGAAGCAGTTTTTGTGCGGATGTCGAAACCCTGCAGTTACTCAGTCAGCAGAGCACTATGTGCCTCAGCACTCGGCAATCCTGTGCTGTAACGTTACGTGACTTGCGGTGATTCCTAAATGCTTCTGCTTTGCAGTAATACCACTTACAGTTGACTTGTTGCAACAGCTGAATCAGAGTTGCAACACTGGCATTTCTCTATCACAGTGCCACCTTCAAATTCACAAATGTTTGTAAAGGCAGGCTGCCTTTATGTACCTGTGGCCACGAGACTGAAAACACCTGGATTCATAAATGATGTGGCTCAATACCTTTGTCCATATAATGCAGAATGATATGACATTCAGAGCACAGACAGTATACTGGCTACTTCCTAGACTTCTGTACAATCAGACCTCTTTTTGAAACCAGAGGAGTCGCCTCCTTCTGGACATTAGAGGAAATACAGGTTTTAGGCAATTCAACACCAGCTTCGCTTTTCAGCCACACAACTAAGGTCTGTATTTTATACACAGTCTGTGATTTAAAGGCTCGTCACAGACAATGTACCAGAAGGCAAAAAGGCGCTTCACCCACTGATGCTGCTGATGTAAAGTAGTAAGTGTCAGTAACTTAACAACCGGTGTTGCCAATAAAAAAATATAAAAGATTGTATTTATTATTAAACTGTACAATTTACAGAAAAGACAGTTAATTTAAAATTGATAGCAAAATGCAGGATGGATGGATGGATGGATGGATGGATGGATGGATGGATGGATGGATGGATGGATAGATGAAAACTACTGGCATCTGTGTGAGTGACTCACCTTGTTGAGTTTGTCCGGCGTGGCGGCAACATGAAGTTCAAAGAGCAGCTCGGTGAGAACACTCACAAACTCCTCGCCATCAGCAGCTGATAAAAATGCACAAAAGGCATGCACCACCTCGTGTCAGTTTACTTAAATACACAAAGCACGTGTTAAAGTGTGATGCTACACGCATTCACACCACATGTCAGGAATCAGTCGATTTACTCCATGCAGAGATCACGAAGCGTATATTGTTGTTGTCATGCCAACGTAATTCAAACTCCTGTGTATAAATTACAGCTGGAATTGTAAAACATGCAGATTCGGCGCCTGGATCTTATGGATTGTTTCTGTTGGCTTTTCTTGAGTCTGCAAATGTGTCGGTGGCCCCTGAACACCAAACGCCGGATCAGGCATCCTGTTCAACCCTCCGAGCAAAAGCGCGCCTGCCTGCTTTGAGCTGTGCACCTCCATGACATCCCCTGAAGGTGCCCCTCACAAACCCTTTAAAATGTAACGTGGTGAGATGTGACGAGACCAAAACTTGGCATCACACTGACACAGTTTCACTCCAGTAGAACATTTTCTACTTCTTTAGCAGATTAGGAACAGTCACCGTCATCGCTGATTCCCGTAAGGATCTAAGGTTTTCAGGGCTTTTAGGAAGAGGAAATATAATTTGGGTAAGTTCTAGGACGCAGAGCATATAAGATCATTTGACATGAAGCAGATGTTTAAACAGCAACCAAATACCACAGGATTAGTCTTTGTGTCTGAAATTGATGGAGCACGCTTTTAAAAAGCACTCTTTGAATCTGCACAAACTAACTTTCTGCACAACTGCACAAACTTCAAAAAGATTAAAACTAAAATAAGTGAGCTAAAGCTCCCTGAGGAACAACAGCAGGCTGCCCACAGCCAGCATCAGAGATAAGCGCAGTCATGAGTGTGTTCAACACCAAACCCTGGTTTTAACAGTTTGGGTTATCATTTCCCATCCAGGTGCCTCTGATCCCACATTATCAGGAGTCCCAAAGTCTGTCAAAGGCCACCTGATCCTGGGTCAGCGCTAAGGGACCACCTCCACCTACAGCAGGTCTAGCAGTCGATCTGGGTCACTCACATAAGGGGGTAGAACAGTGTAATTGGGAACTAAGATCACCGTTATCCTTCGTCTGTCCTCCTCCTTCTGTCTCCACATCCTCCTCTTCCTCTTGCTTGATGAAAATCTCCTTGATGTAAATCAGCTCCTTCTTCACCTCCTCCTGCTCCTCTTCGGTCAGGGAGGAGAGGAAGGCTTGAACCTAAAATCACAGCTGCAGGTAAACTGCTTGAAACAGGCAGTGTTTCTGAAGCGCTTTCTGTATTCCCGACACTCGCGCCTTACCTTTGCTTCACTCTCATTGGACAGAATCTCCAGGGCCTCCAGGTGTGACAAGCCCTGGTAGTCATCAAAAAGAATACCGTAGTGAGCTGTGGGAGCACTGATAGGCTGGTTACTCAGACGGGCCCGCTCCTTCTCCTTGGCTTCCTTCAACATCTGAAAAAAGAAAATCAGAAAAAACAGAGCTACCAATTTAAAGCAATTACACCTACACACACACACACACACACACACACACACACACACACACACACACACACACACACACACACACACACACACGACACACCAGTTTCAGATTCATTTCTTATCTGACAAGATGAGATGAGATGGTCAGTTGCATGCCTGACTAAGTGACGCGGTCTTTTGCATCAGAGTTTTGGTCTTTTTAAAACCCGGGTCACTCTCTGCAAGAACAGTCATGGTCTTCTTTCCAATGAACTCCAAGGCATCCAAGCCTCCACTGATCACTGACTTACCCTGAGAGACACAGAGAGACAGATGCAGAGCGAGGAAGGGTGGGAGGGGAAAGGCAGTTCAGCAAACTACAGTAGCCTGTTAAAGAAAACAATAAAAAAACAAAAACAAAATAGGATTGACCAACAAAATTGTAAATTTAGATAGCACACTTTTATAAAATGTTGTAATTTAAATAATATCATACTGAAAGTTTGCATACTGAAAACAAAATAAATTCAGTTAAAAAAATATGAGCTTGCTCTTGGTTTATTGAGGTCCATGAGCGCCAAAATGAATGAAATAAATACATTGTTAACTAATTAAATGTGTCATTAATCAATTAACCCTTTAAATCTCAGTCAGTTCAGTCAGGAACAAAGAGGGAAAAAATAAAGTGAATGTTTTTGCAAAATATTTAAGTAGGATTGTAATTTTAAAACTGCAGCCTTCTGCCAAAAATCAAGAGATCATTGCTTACAATCCATAACAGCTCACAACTGCTTCCAGTCTGATTTTCAAAGCACAGATGATGTCTTTAACTTTAACTGCGCTCCTTCACACAGCAGGAAATCGAGAGGCAGAGCATGTGTTAATGAGAAATATTTCAGCTTACTAAAACTGTGAATTAGGAGGTACTTAATACGTAACGCAAATACATAAATCGTTGACAGCACTGAAGGGGCTCGACTTTTCTATCGACCATGGCTTGCCATCGAACACAGATTGAGGAATGCCGCAGGGAAGGAGAGGAGAGGAGTTGGCAGCGACGTCCAGAGGAGGATCAGTAAATCAAGGACTGTCTTCTGCAGCGTGGACGCTGTCTGAAGTCATCACAGTCAAGCACTCTCACCAATCTGAGGCTATAATAGAGCTGTGCTGTGTCTGCTGTAACTCTATAGGCTAAATTAGTTAAAGGGTTAACTAATTAAATAGGTTAAGCTCTGTAGAGTTCATTCTTTTTAAAATCTCACTTATATTTTGAGACATCTTATTAAACAGTTTATTTTGGATTAACCTGATTTTGTAGATTAAATAAGCCCCACTTTCAGAGTACTTACTTCTATTTGCATCTACTTGTCTGCTAATACTGTAGCATTCAGGGTTAATAGGGAAGCTTTTCAATTATGTTTGCAGTTCAGCAGCAGTTTTATATGCTTATACGTTAGGAGCAAAACTGTGACACCACTAGTGCATTATACTGATCACTGACTTATCCTGAGAGAGACAGAGAGAACCTGAAATCTAAATATTTAAAAATTTTGCCAGGAGGAAGGAGAATGACTGAGGGCGACCATAAAAAACTCTCACTAAGTCTAAAAGTCTCAGGAGACTGCTGTGGATCTGATTAAACTGAACGACCTCCAAACATTCGGTAAAGCACATCATCAGAAACAAGCACAACTCCATCACACAGACAGCTCTGCTGTGGACACCAAAGTGCAAAAGAGAGCGCCCTAAGACCACACGGCAGCAGACTGTCGAGGCGGCATTATGGGCACTAAGAAAACGAGACGACTCTTCATATCTGAGTACATGACTGCCTGGTGAAATGCATGATTTAATCGCCACTAACACTCTTTCATGACATGGTTTGGAAGCTTCATCAGACCTTTTGTGTGTCTCTCTGTGCGTGTATGTGTGTTCACTCACAGTGTTTTGTACGGCATGTGTGATTGTAGAGAAAACGCCCCTGCTAGAAGCTGTGGCTGCAGTAGGAGAAGACGACTCCCCGGAGTTGGACAGGTCAATCTCTCTGCTTTCGATTCCTCCTTCTGTCTTCTCCTCCGCTCCCTCCTCCTCTTCCTGTGCCTCCTCTCCAACTGAGGTTCTGTGGAGACGAAGTGCCTCTCCTGCCTTCACCTTTACTGAGGTCAGGCTTTGACCTGCACACAGAAAGCAGCAAATTAAAGACTCACATACATGAGGAGAAGTAGACATTGATGGTCTATTTCTCCTGCTTGCCAGCGACATTTCTCATTACATATATAAAAACACATGGTCCTATAATAATCCTGGCTGAAATCTATGAGCCAATTTTGAAACCGCAAGAATGATGGCAGAAGTAAGACAAGCGATAAAATGTTTCTTCACTTGCTTATGGAAGGACTCTGTGCTTATCTGTTACTATCACCTTGCTATCAGGTCCCTGCTACTGCAGAAATACCGTACCAGCGATTTCTGAATCGCTACACATGAGCAAATACACATATAGATATTGTTAAAGTGTTTATGTGATGACAGTGTGTATTTTCAAATTGTGCATCTTGGAAAACATTGCTGCACCACAACAAATCGTGTACAGATTTGGGTGCAACAATGTTTGGGTCCTTTCATAGTTATGGTGTATTTGACATTCCTGTGTTGGTGTTTGTGCATCGTCATTTGTGCAACTGACCAGTCATGTTGCTGTGATGTCACAGCTGTGCAATGGAGGGGAAAAAGAAAACAAATAGCTCTGTTTTTATAAAACACCCTCCTGGAATAAATAGTAAGCACTGCGAGTGCTTTCTTTATTAATTTATACAATATAATAAATTTACTATGGAGTTAGGTTTTTGTTAGCCAAATTTAACTCATGTTAGTTCGCTAGTAATAGCTTTCAATAGCATTAGCTACCTTCTCAGTTAATGCTAACTGTATGCTCACACAACATCACTGGTCAGTTTCAATGTTGACCCTGAACCAAAATTATTATGGTGACGCAAGAACAACATCAACATGGGGATATCAGATTGTGCCACAGTTATGCACAACTGGCCAATCACAGGGTGAAATGTAATTCAGTTCAATTCTATTCTATTCATACAGCACCAAATCACAAGGCCACAATCAGCTTAATATTGTAAGATAAAGACCCAACAATAATACGGAGAAACAATCAGATGACCCTATGGGCAAGCACTTTGGCGACAGTGGAAAGGAAAAGCTCCCCTTTAACAGGACGAAACCTCTGGCAGAACCAGCTCAGGGAGGGACTGGTGGTGAGTGAAATGGGTGTAAATGTGAAGAAAAGAATTGGATGAGAAAAACCTGGGACATACCCACTGTGGAGGTGGCAGTGGTCAGAAGAGATTTTCCCCATGAACTCCAAGCTCCCCAACCTTTTTCTTTGTCCAGGAGGGACTTCTGTGCGCAAATATCCATCATAGGAAAGGAATAAAACTGTTAACTGTTTGGTCTATAATATGTGTGAAAGTACAAAACAAATGACAATCACAAATCTCTAAATAGATATCATAATTGCTCGTTTATTATTAAATATTTCAAAATGTCAATATGAAGCTGTATTATACATAGAAAGGCTGGATCTTAGCTTTAAGGAAATTCATGTATCATGAAAACAGAAACTAGCAGTTTTCATCAATCAAAATAACTAACGAGAAGTTAATAGGCTTTGGCTTTGTCAAGCTAAAAGACAGTGTAACACCTACAGTGTCACTTATTTAAAGATTTCAGTGATTGTATGTACATATTTGAGCCTGTATATACAATTTCCTGAATAAAAATCCTAAATATATTCAAAATTCTTGTTTCTTTGAAGTTCTTTTATAACTGTGTGCAAGTGTATCTATGAGACATTTTCCTCTCAGTGCTTTGTGTCAAGGAAACATAAATCAAACTTCAGCTTGTGAAACAAACCTCCACATCTTCCTCTGCAGCCTCTGTGTCTGGCTCCAGGCTCACTGGTTGGTCACATTCAGTCATCTGACTCTCTGCAGGAGACTCTGGTTGGTCAGCCTGACCCTCTAATGTCTCAGAGGTGGTGGTGTTCTCTGTGGTCGACTGCTCTTTGGACTGATCAAAACTCTCAGGGGAGAAAAGAGGCTGCAGTGGATCTGCTGGGGGTGTACCGGCTGCTGGTACATCCTGACCGAGGCTGGGAACAGGGTCGGGGGGCTGAACAGGTGGAGGGGTGGGGTCTGTGGAGGGGTCAGCATCAGAGGAGGCAGCCTGAGACATGATGATCTGCAAAAAGTTGGATTTTTAGTGGAAAACTGCTCATCTGTGTCTTTCGTATAAATGCACTTTCCCTAAAACAAAAACACTGTTTATACAAATCTAAGCATAAAGTGGAAACACTCAGTTCTTACATGTTTTATCATGTGTGAAACTCTTGAGGCCTGGCACATTCACACAGCGTTTAATTATTAGTGTGAATTAGACTTTTCATTGGGATTAACTTTAGTGACACTAAACAATGTTCCTCAAATTATGAAGTACTAAGAGTACCAACTGTGTAAACTGCTCCGTGCCAAAGAGGATTGAGGAAAAAGTCAATCAAGCTGTGTCTGTATCCCACACATACATCACAAGAGGTCTGATTGGGCTAAAAACATCTGGCTTTAAGGACTGGGAGCTTTTTTCTGCAGCTCACTGTACTTGCAATTGAACATGTTGTAAGGGACTTTTGTTGATAATATATAATGTATTAAATAACAATTAAAAAACTGGGGTATATAGAGACTCCTGGACCATTTAAAGCAGGGGTGTCAAACATAAAGCCCGGGGTCCACAATTGGCCCGGTGAAGTCTCGAATCCGGTCCCCTGGACAGCTTTAGAAAGGGACGCATAGATTTTGAACTTTTGACTGTATTTTCATAAGTTTCACAGATTTTCCTATTGATAAAGACCAACCACCTTCATTGCTGCAATTTTACACAGGTATTATTAATTTCTCTGGTCCCAGCCACTTAAGATCAAAATGGGCTTTATGTGGCCCATGTAAAAGGAGTTTAACATTCCTGGTTTAAAGTGATGTAGAATAAGTATTTTTTTAAAAATATATAAATAAAAATGAAAATCATAAAAAATGACAACTTGGATTTCTACCCCATCCATCCCTCTCAGTCACATGCAGCAGTCCCTGAAGACACACCCAGATCCCCTTCTTACCGGTCACCTGCTCCTTACCCAGCTCAGCCCAGGCCAGGTGAGAGATGTAATCTCAGGAATGCCTGTCTTGGGTCTGCACTGGTGCCTCAGATTTGGCTTGGGAATTAGTGATTGACACCATTATTTAACACACACCATTTTCAGTGCATGGGAGATCCACGTTTAGCCACTGTGGCATCAACAACCAAAGGGACTCCACTTGAGTGGGTATCTCTTTTATCTCACCCTGGTTTTTACTTAAGGTGCAGTACCATTTATTCTTATTTTTGTTTTCTTTTTAGCCCTTTATTATTTATTTAACTTATTTATTTCCATATCTTAAAGTTGCAGTTTGTCTTTGTATTTTCTCTTTGAAGCATTCTAGGGTGCAGGTGTGCATTAAATAATCTGTAAATAAAGAGTCGAGTTTCTATCTTATTCTAAACTGTTGCAGCAACGAACAATTATCCCGATTCTCTAATAAACACGATGGATACTATTTATTTTATTTGGCCTGGAATTAGAGACATTTTCTCGCTATGCTCTCCTTTTTTTCCTCTTCTCGTTCCCTTCAACCTCCCACCATATGGTAGCAGATAGCTGTCCCTCAATGAAGCTAGATTTGTTGGTCGCTTCCTATTAAAAAAAGAGTTTTTCCTTCCCGCCAAGTGTCGTAAATAAGTGAGTGAGGTTTTAAATGTGATTTTTTTTTCATTAAAGCTGCAGTAGAAAGTGCCGTGAGGGGAATTGTTGCTGTGAACAACTAAATAAAACTGGACTCAACTGAAAGAATTTTGACAACACAGAATTTTATATGTGCTATAATTAAAGCGACAGTACTGCTGGTCATTTCATGTCCGATGTTGCCATCTTGTGTTCAGTTGCTGTACTCAGATGCATATGACTATCACTCAGTGATTTTATTACTGTTAAAAGGAGTTTTCTGCCAGAAAAAGGTCCTTGTGCAGAACGTTTTTTGTTTTTTGTTTGTTTTTTTAAATCAGAAGAGCTGGTGTGGTTAAAAATAATAATTAATATATATATATAAAACTTCACAAAATAGAAAAGTATGTTTTCACCCACACAAAAAAATGCTTTAAACAGATACTGGAAACCACGGTCTCATAATTCTCATTTTGCATTTTGAGCAGTAACAATAATCTTGCACTTTTGACATAAATTATATAAACATCTTTTCCTCTGACTCATATAGAGCGTGACAGCGTGACAAATAATAATTCCCTAATGCTAACACCTAAGTAAGGATGTATTAAAGACTGCCCTGCCTTTTTAGTGCGATTTATAGCATTAATGCAACGTGACAGCATAGGCAACGCTGTATAAGAGACAGGCAACAAAGAGCACTGTTATGCTCTACTTTCACGCTAACATGAATGGATGTTTCTCACTTCCTAAACACATACAAACACACAAAAACAAAGCGATGCAGCAAATTTATGAAAGACTAATCTCAAGTTGAACTGCAGTTCTTCGCTTGTATAGTCAAAGGAAAATTATAAAGCTGGGAGACAGTTTTGTTTTTATGAAAGTGACAGTGCAGCTCACCCGTTTGGTGCCAGCCAGCGGCTCTTCCGCCCCGCCACGTCGGCAGGACGGTGGTCTGTGACTGCGCCAAAGAGTAACAGCTGACAAGAGAGTTCTCTGCCTCGAGAGCGACTCTGATGAGCTAAGCTAACACAACTTCACAGACGGGCAAAAAACTACAGCGCACACAAAAACAAACTGTACGTGTGTGTGTGTTTTTCCTCCAATAATTAGAAAACGGCACCACAGTTTCAATATAGCATTCTGTTTCAGAATGCGACCGCTGAATAAATTAGGCCAGTCATAAAATAAACGACGCCAGTCAAAATAGCAGCGAAGTTGCATCTATGTAGGAGTGAATCATTTCAGTTCTTCTGGCTCTTTAGAGGAGCAACACCTCTATTCTGAAGCTCGGTGAAACGAGAGTCCGTACAACAGCTGCTGTTACACGCAAAACCCCACAAAAACAAATAAAACAAAACAGACTAAAATGAGTACAACTAGTGATGACGAGTACGATTCATATACATATTAATCTGCTTGCTCGCTCAGCGGCTCGTTGGTCTAGGGGTATGATTCTCGCTTAGGGTGCGAGAGGTCCCGGGTTCAAATCCCGGACGAGCCCTCGCTTTTTCTTACGTTTATATCATCTCTAATATGCACAACACAGAAAATCCAAAGTAAAGGGCTATTGCACGTGAGTATGCAGCTGTATTTTTTTAGTCCCTCAATGTTGCATTCTTATAGTAGTAACAGTATTGCTGCAAGGCAGTGTAACATTTTAACATTTCTAACTTTGAAATAAACTATAGGTCACAGGTTTGGTATTTAGTAAACAAAGAACAAATATGTTTTATTTGAATTCAACTACTCCACCTCTCTCACTAAGAAAATCTAGTGACATTAGAAGTCATGTTACAGTCTTTTAACACTCTTGTGTTCTCCTTATCCCAAAAATAATCATCACTAAGCTGATGATAACCATTATTTCACTGCTGTTCTGTCTGGTTATCATCAGTAGGGATCAAGCATTCATAAACTGGCACACCTCTTTTGATCCACACCTGACAACTGTAACAACTGTAAGTGCTGTCACTTCATTTTCTTTGTGGGAGTTCCCTGAACAGAGAGATTAAATTGCACTTGACTGTAAAAACGTCCTTTCATGCTTTCTTCAGGTGCAAGGGGTGAGTGCTAGACTAAACATGCTGTGCAGTCACACATAAAGAATCCAAAAAGCTTAGAGTGAAGTCTCTGAAAATGGATGTTTTTATTTAAAAAAATTAAATCTGCTCAAATCTCTAATGCTCCATAACTACTTCATGATGCAAATGAGTAAAGATTTTACACCATAAGCTTTTTGTGTGGTTTGCGGCATTTTTGTAGGAACTACCTTCTGCAAACCACACATCACAGCAGATCTCAATACTATCTTGTAATTTCTTCCTTTTGCTCTTACGCTACCCTCATACACATATCACCCTCGACCCTCATTTCCACCCACTTTGTCTTGTCTTTACCTCTCTTTGTGTACTGTCCAAGTATTTAAGCTCATCCACTTTCACCTTTCCATCTGTCTCCCTCTCATTCACACACATGCATTTTGCCTTACTTCTACTGACTTTTATGCCTTCACCATCATAGTCCGCATCTATCAACCTGTCCGTCACCACTGCAAACAAGAAGCTCAGAACTGATCCCTGATGTAATCCCACCTTCAGCTTGAACCCATCTGTCAATGCACCTCACCACTGTCTCGCTAGCCTCATACATGTTCTCAGCCATGCTCATACTTCTCTGCTACTGCGGACTTCCTCATGTAGCACTACAATTCCTCTCTCAGTACTACTATCATATGCTTTCTCTAGATCGACAAACACACAGTCCAGCTCCTTCTGATCTTTCTGTGCTTCTCTATCATCACTCTCAAAGCAAAGCTAACATCCGTTGCGCTCTTTCGCACTATTAAGCTGCACTGCTGCTCACTGATCATCACCCCAGATCATACATGTCTTTACTACACCACCTTATTCTTGAAAAATCAGTTCACTTCTCCATTCCCCAGGCATTCTCTCATACTCCAAGAATATTTTAAACAATCTAGTTGAAGTCCCTCTCTCCTAGACATCTGCACCATTTATTCCTGCCTGTGGCTATCTCACTGTACAATCCCTCCATGTAAAACAAATGTACACACTGGGCAACAGCACCTTAATATCAACCATATTTATATATTTATGTAATTTGTGTTATATGGTGGAATTTTTATAATTAGAGTCATTTGTAGCTATTAGTTATATTTTATAACTTTGTAATATAATGTATAATTTTTAAGATTAAATATTTAGTTATTGTTCTTACCGTCTTGGAGAAACTGTGACTGATTCTCTGAGGAAATTATGTAAAGTTTTCCGACTAATACCGCCACAGGTATGTCTTCTGGACCTCCTGCCTTTCCACTCTTCATCGCTGCCCACACTTCCCGATTTGTTATAATTTCTCCATTTATTCTCCTCCCTCAGATGTTCTTCATTCAGCAGCTCCTCAAAGTACTGGTTTCCCAGCACACTCTTCACTTACCCTTAATCAGTCTACATCCTTTCCAGCTCAAAATCTCTGCCTAGCCAATTAATAAAAGTCCTTTTCTCCTTCTGTAGTATCCACAGACATGCACACACACACTTTTCTCTTCTAAAATAAGCTAATTCACTAGCAAACAGGTGAACAAAAAACAGAATCACAAACAACAATACATGCTTCAAATATTGCAATAACTTTATTAAGTGGTATGAATATTTTGTTTAAAAATGCTAAATTGCAGAAAGACCATACGTTCACAGTTTGATGAGTTCCCTTTGAATTGCCAACGGTAAAATTTAATTAGAAAAAAAAGACAGGGTTTATCAAACACTAGAAATATGTAATAGAGTATCAAAATCATGCTTAATAAAAACCATTAATTGCCCGTTCAGTCTAATAATGAATTATAAAATATAGATATTAATATGACAATTGTATTTGCAAAGATACAAAAAGGAAAAAAAAAACCAAACAAAAAAAAAAAGAAAAAGAAAAGCACAAACTGCAAAAGGCATCGAGGAGCAAATGCAGATCAGTTGAGCTGCTACATTCGGGGTGTGTGAACGTGTACATGCGAATAAATGGCGGGGTTACACCTTCTTGTATACATGACTAGAAAATGACAAAAAAAAAAA